TTTTTTTTCCTTTTACCATGGACAAATATCAGCTCCAAATACTCCAAAGAAATAACTCCAAAACTACTACATTGGACCAGGGTGGCATGTATGGCTGTCAAAAGTAGAATATTTTTACATTTTTAAATCACTCTTGGAATCATTATTCATTTTGATCCATATGTGTAAACTTGATACTGTATTTTAAAATAGTGCGACCCGCCCCAGAACTTTGCTTTGCTGATTGGTCAAATGCTGTAGCCTGCAGTGACGTCCTGTGTGACACGTTGTGATCCTCACTGATTGACTGGCTGGGGGGGGATTTTTTTTTTTTTTTATAATCTCTTAGGCGCCCGGTTTTCCCAAAATGTGGCAAATTGCCAATTTCTTCTTTGGTTAAGTGAAGACTCTACTTGTCCTTTGATGTGAATACTGTAGTTTTCTCTTGTGCACTGCTGCGATATGCTGGTCTTGTCCATGGTCCCGCCCCGCTCCTTGCCCAATCAACTGGGATTGGCTCAGCTCACGTCACTTAAAATACGCACGCGCAAACCTTTCCTTGCTTGCAGGGGGCGTAGACACGCCGTTACCTAGCGACCATCGACATGTACTTGATGCCGGAGAGTAAACGCTTTCCCCTGTATAACTTCAAGGTTGGACTCGTGGACGCTTTAATGTTGCCTCCAAAGGCTGTCGTTCAAGGATCCATGGCCTCGCAGCTGCAGGAGGTGGAACGTCGTTCTGATAACAGCGACATGGATGAAGGCGCCCAGCCGTTGCCGGAGCTCCAAACCCCTCCCGGCCAAGGCGTCTTGGACACCGAGACGAGACGTCTCATCGGCCGCTTCCTCCGTGACTTTACCGGGCTGTCCACTGCTGCTTGGATCCAAAGCAAAGCCCAGTCGACAATGAAGAGGGTCGTGACGAGACTGGTGGACAAGCACAGGATCTTATTCAATAGTAAGCTGAAATGCTTTCATTACTGTTCTTCGATTGACTTTTTTGTACTGTAACGGTTGCTCTTTGATGTTCTTTGATCCCTTTTAAAAGTTAGGCTGCCAGTATGTCGGTTTTTAAACAGTTTATTTTGCCTATTTAGTCTAAAAAAGTAGAATATTGTTCTTTTACTGCATACACGAACATGAGTTGTTACCATTAGCATAAAATCTGAATTTATGTGTATTTTATAACTCTACAATTTCCAGTGTGTTGGCACATTGCTCAGATTTAAAGCAGTCTCAAAAATGGCATTTCAGTCTTGTCATTTCCACCTTTTATCTTTTTTTTGCTAATAATGCAGTCTTTCGACAGCCACTAGAGCAGGTCTTGGCAAACCAAAATGTTGGAAAGCCATATTGGACAAAAAAAAACCCCAAAAAACAAATACTGTATGTCTGGAGCTAGAAAAAAAAGCCTGATATAACCCTTTTAATGGAGGAAACACATGCTGTGTATCTATATGAGACTACTATCAAAATAACTCAGTTGGCTCCAAATACACAATGAGCCTTCATGATTAAATGGGTTTTTCCCCACCCCGCACTGCATCGGATGCACTGCATCCTGTAGAGCAGGGGTGCCCAACCTTATTTTTTGACTGAGACCACATGAAACGCGTTTTTTTTTTTTTTTTGCAACAGCCACCTGCCTGGCATCCCACCCTGCCAATAGAAACGTGTCGTAGTCTATGACGTAAATCTTTGTTGACAGAAATGTTGAAATTTAATATTTATTCTACACATATTACAGCATTGGAAAACGGTAAGAATGTTTGTGGCACGTTATTCCTCCTACAGAAACCACATTAAAGTCAAGTCAACTTTATTGTCAAATGTGCTACATGTGCAACACAGAGCACAGATGAAATTTCATTCCTCTCAACCACAGGAGGGAGAGGAGCCGCTGCGGGTGCCTACGCCGCCTTCAAAAGAACAGTGCACATAAAATGACAAATGACAAACATAAAATTTTGTTGTCTGGTTGAGAGGGAAGAAATTTCATCTGTGCTAAAGAGCTGCATACAGCTCTGGAGCCACGGGTTGCCGACCCCCGTGCTAGAGGGAACACTACACAAAATCATCCATTCATACATCCATTTTCTAATCCGCTTATCCTCATAAGTGTCACCGGCGTGCTGGAGCCCATCCCATCTGTCAACTGCAGCCAGCCAACCGCACGGCACATATAGACGAAAAACCATTCGCACTCACAATCGCACTTGGGGACAATTTAGAGTTTTCCATGAACCTGCCGTGCATGTTTTTGGAATGTGGGAAGAAACCGGAATACCCAGAGAAAACCCACATAGGCACAGGGAGAACATGCTAACTCCACATAGGAAGGCCGAAGCCGGAATCGAACCCTGCACCTTTGCACTGTGAGGTGTGCTAATCAGTCAAACACGAAATCAGACTCGTATTATTCATTTGCTCTTAGTAAGGCAGCCAAAAATAATAAAGAGTAATAAGTTTGAAAAGATGGTCTTCAAAGTGTTCAATTGGCTGAAAGTGGTGCTGATCGATGCAAAAGGGACAATTTGATGTCAAAAAGTAGACTACCACATGGACATATTTAAAGAGCTGATGTTTGAAATTAAAGAGGGTTTATAAATACTGGAGGTAATCAAATAAATAGGATGCTAAATATGTGCGTTTTACAATTAGAATGTCCTTCTGTCTTCAAGACATGGTCAACGAACTGTCACTGGACCAAAGAGGGCTCGACAGGTCCTTTGTCAGCCAGGTGGCCCAAACGGAATTCGCCAATGGGAACATTAACTGGGGTCGCATCGCCAGCCTGTTGGCCTTCTGTGCCGTGCTGTCTCAAGCCTTGAAAGAAAATCAGCAGGAGAGGTGCGTGGAACTGGTGGCCCAGGAGGTCTCGACCTACTTGCTGTCACACCAGCGCACCTGGCTAGTGCAGCACAACGGTTGGGTGAGTGACATGCCAAAAGTGCCCCATTAGATTTCTGAAGTTCACACATTCATCAACTCATCATCCTATTCTATCATTTTCCTCATCAGGATGGATTTGCAGAATTCTTCAAGGAAGACGACCTGGAGTCTACAGTGAGGAATGGCCTCTTCGCCTTTGTTGGTTTGGTCAGCGTCACTGCAGCGCTACGCTGTCTGATTCGATGAACACAATGGACATTTGAGATGCGACATTGCACTTTTGTTTACCTGGTCAAGCACACATTTCTGTTTGTGGTGACTTTATTAAGTGCACTTTTTTTCTCAGGAAAATGTAAAAATGTTCAGAAATGACTTAGAAACACCTTGTTCGTACTTCTGTGTTTTATTTAAATAGGCTAAGGTTCCATTACTCATTTATTGTTCAGTCCAATTTATTGTGATTGTACAAGTGCCAGTTCTTTCGGGTCAAATAATTCGCTTCAAGTCAACATATTAAAAAATGAATTGTTTTGGTGGAGAAAATCTTGTAAAAGCAGAAGATTGCGTCCACTGAGTCACTGCTTATTCTAGTCCAAATGTGTTTTTTAAAATTGTTATCAAACTTTTAAAACGCCATTTTTTAATATTCAAACACATTTGTACTAAAACAAACTTGAGATGTCAGTTGCCTTTTGTTTTTGATTCACAAAATATTTTCTAAACACTTACATGAAACATGCAACTTGAAATTTACCATATTTTACTACTGTATTTTTGTACCCTTATTTTTTTTTTAAGATAAATAAACCATTTACTTGAAATGACCTTGCTTTGTGTTATACATTCTTACAGGGTTTGTGTTCACTTCTGTACTTCTTTGCTTGACCCCATACTTCCAGGATCCAGGATGACACATGACCATTTCTTGCTCTCCTTTGATGTGTGTCTTTGTACTTGGGAGATGTATCTATATTAGCCTACTATCAAAATGACTACGTTGGCTACAAATACACAATGAGCCTTCATGATTAAATGTTTTTTCCCTGCATTCAGGTTACTTCCAAAATGTCAGGAACTTGTAAATTCCCCATGCCGTTATGCACATTAATTGTATTTCTTCGATTAGAACATTTTAAAGATCGCGAAAAGCCCAAGTCATTGTTCAATTTCAATTAAATGTCTAGCTCTAGCTCCAACTTTGTTTGGGAATCCCCTTGTTTCATTTCGCCTTTCATTTATCAGTTAATATACATTTATTTTGAAACATTTTCCATAATTTTCAAAGGTAAATCATCCAATAAATGTATTTTGCGTCATGGTATTTCTTCAGACAAAAATACAGTTGACATACAGAAACAAACGTGCCTTTTGTCACATTTGATATTTTGGTTATTCCAAAAGTTCAAGTCAATGTCAGATTAGTGTCTTTATCTGCAGTCTACAAATTCTTTCAATACATTTGCCTCTACTAACAAGTGGTTAAAAAACAAAAATACAAATACACAGTAGCCATCTATCAGGGGACACCAATGTTGTTAAAAATGAGAGCTATTTCTTGGCTACTAATTACCGTTGAAGGGCTACTACCTTGATACACCCTTCAAACATAAATTTGCTCAAATTGTCTTCAGTTATAAGTTGTTAATAATAACTCATTCTGTTAATCCAGGTGACAACATCACAATGGTTTTGTGCAAGAATGAATACAATTTATAACTATCACCAGTTATTAAACAAGGCAGGAAACGAGTATCACTACGCACGTGTTCATTTCTATATATCTCTGCAAGTGATTAAATGTGGAAATCACCTCTAACAGTTCAAGAAAATTACAATGTCCCATTATTGGTTTGTTATTTTAAGAACAGAACTACACGCTATTCATGTGGTGCCCAGAGGCCACCACGTTGATGACCCCGGTAGGCTAAATGTCAAATACAAAAGACAATAAATACATGACAGCTCTATCTTATTTTATTGTGCTGTTTATGACGGTGTTCGAATTCAGTGGGGAAATTCAATATGGAAGAAACTTTTGTCGCCGCACAATATGTCACTTTTAAAAAATGCAGACAATAATCACTATAATAGGAAGATGAAATGATGATATTGTTTCGAAGCAGACAGGTGCTGATCAAGTAATAGTGCAGGAAGTTTACATAAAAGGAAGTATGGGTGGCTGTTAGAAGAGCCATTTTGGGTGTGCTTGTGCATCACACTGTGTCCTGCCAAGGGACAGTTCCCTCAACTGAGAAGGAAGTAAAGGCTTCCCTCAACTTCATAGCCTTTCTGGTGCAGTCGTTGGTGGCAAGTCTTCTCAGACCTGGAAGTTATTCCGCCTCTTGCACCTGGATGTCTGGACTCTCAGCAGATCCCGGGCTTTTCCTCAGAAAATTCCGGACAGCACAGGTAGCCTTCACACACTGCTCTGCAACCTCGAGATGCACCTCAATGACACGCCTGCACATTCTCCACTCAGCAGACAGGATAAAGGCATTCTCTGCCACCGCCCAAGCTCGGAAGAGATGGTTGTTAAAGACAAGAGTGCTCTCTTCGAAGGATGCGTCCCCAGAATGGCATCATGAGATTTTTCTGCAGTGGGAAAGCCTCATTTGCAACAAAGACGTGGTTGGGATGCTTTGTGGTCAGCTCCTGGGAGAGGCAAGTCCAGTCAGCAGGCAGTTGGAGAGTGCCAGAGCACAGCGCTTTACCAATAGCTGAGATGGCCAGAATCCCACGATCACTGGTTCTTTCGCAGCTCCCAACATCTAGCACACGGAAACAATAAACATTACCCACAACCACCAGGAGAACCAAACAAAACAGTTTACATAAAGTAAAATAAACACAACACATAACATAAAACATGGACAGTCATGCAATCCTAACCACTTTTCCCTCATACGCTTTGTTGTTTAAAGCAGTTTGAGATTAAAGAGGAGAGAATCAAAGTGCCCTTTCACCAGTGGATTAGAGACGTCATGCTCAAAATGTGCACACATTGGCTACAAGCTAAGTTTGAAAGCAACAAGAAACTGGAGCATCCACTGATGAAAAAAAGAGATTGGTTCACTTCTCCTTTCCAATGTAAATCCATTTCAATTCCAAATGGTGACTCTCAGTTCAAAATACGCATCTGCGTTCCGCGCCGACGGTCCTCTCTCCTCATCCTCAACTTCAGCAGCCATCCATCCAGCCGCACCAATGCAGAATGTCTAACAGCGCCGACATCTCCACTGAACAAAACGAGGCTGTGAAAAATGCTGCCCATTACAGGCGCAAAAAACACAAGCGCCCCAGCCCAGGGCTGTCCAGCACCGACAGTCAAATGGCGCCGACATTCCTCCCAATCAAAATCTGTGCTGGTACAGGCGTGCTGCCGAGAAGGCACAATCTCCTTTGACGAATGTCGTGGCCAAAAAATGCTGAAAGCAATCTACATCAGGTTCACATGACGTAACAACAAATACCATGTGACAAAACAAAAGACAAAAACAACAAAAAAAATCAACAAAAAAAGCAAGGCTCTTGAAGAGCACTTGCCGACGGCTGCCTACTCGGGCGCCATCTTTCTAAACATGAAAATGAAATGAAATATGAAATAAATGAAATGAAAAATACATCCAGTAGTGCTGCTCTACAAAATTACCAAAAAATAAATAAAAGAGGCATAGGGGCCTGCATAATTTCGCACAAATGCAGATATCTATTTAAATGAGAAGCATAAAAATGTAGAGTTCCAGGCTTTTCAGTGTTAAAATGCAGTGGAACCTCTACTTACCCACGCCTCTTTCTATGTGCAATTTCAGTTACAGTAGGGACCAATGTTTTATATAAATAATTGCTTTATTTACATTCTATTGTGGGCAGCCCGGTGGTCCAATGGTTAGCACATTGACCTCATGGTGCACAGGTACAGGGATCGATTCCCGCTCCGGCTTCCTGTGTGGACTTTGCATGTTGTCCCCGTGCCTGCACGGGTTTTCTCCGGGTACTCCGGATTCCTCCCACATTCCAAAAACATGCATGGCAGGTTAATGGAACACTGTAAATTGTCCCTAGGTGTGAGCGTGGATGGTTGTTCATCTTATCCAGAAAGTAAAAAAATGTTTCTTTTCAAAAAGTATCAATTGGCACACAATCAATGTCACAATCTTGAACAGAAAAATAACATGCCATTTGTTCATTTCGCACCATAGCATTGACCACAAATCATAAACAGATTACATAAACGAACCCCACATAACCTCATTTTAGGGTTTCTATTCCAATTATTATTATTAGTAACTTACTAATAATAATAATTTTTTTTTCAGTCTTACTAATAGTAAGACTGAAAAAAAAAAGCACACAGTCCAACACACAATTAAGGCGTTTGCCACCAGAGGGCGTTGTGTTCACAAGAAGCCACACGAGCTGAACCTTGTTTATGAACGAGTTGGCTGGAACGCTTCAATTATTCAGAAGGCTTCATCTTCCCCATCGCTACCTGCAGAAGGCGGTGAAATTCGCCAAGCTGTGTGCGCCTCTGGATGGTGTTGTGTAACCATAATCGACGGCATCTGGCCCTCCAAAGTTTGCTAAAGTTTGTAGCAGGTCAACAACAAGTATAAAACAATTGTGTCTGTTACGTCTGGTCCATAATTTATCGCAAGAAGAAGACCCTTGACTTTTCCGTTATTTCTGCCTCCAATTGGTAATGCCCCGCCTATTCTCCAGGACAGATGCCGAGAATGACCAAATGAAATTGAACACGCGCGATTAAATCCTCGCTAACTCCAGGTATGATTGTTCCGCGCCCAGTGTGACCATTACTTAACGACAACTCAACCAACACGTTGTAAATAAAATACATTGCATATGCAGTACGTTCAAACCAAATACTTACTCGAGTCATATTCACGACGCATTCTCCATTTATCTTCCATGTTCCGACCTCCACAGTTCCACTTCCCTCACATCATCAGCACTTCCGCGATTTTATAAAGTAAGAGCATTGGACTATTTCAGTGGGGAAATTCACTCGTTCGTAGCAGCAAACGATATTACGATACGACATTGTTAAAAGGACAAGCGTTGTCAAAATTAACCAGGTGAGAACGAAAAAATTGTGTTTTAAAAACAGCATCTAGCTGGGGGGGAAAGATGCACATTGTGCTTATGTAGTCTTCGGAAATTATTGCACACAAGTGGCGTTTGACCGAAAGCGAAGCTTTTCTGCAACTACATCTCCAGTAATGGCCGTTATTATGAATGAAACTGATATAAAACACTGAACATCGAAACGACTGAAATCTATTAAATGTAAACGTTAGTGTTATATTCAAATTACAAGCTTTTATTTACAAAGCAGGTCTGACACATCCGATACGGCAGATATAATGACGTAGAGGCGTTTAGCCAATCCGCATAATGAGGCCGAGCTGGGCGCCAACAGACCAGGAAGTCCAAGTTGTAGGTTCATTTTAACATTGTGCCGTTCGCTTCCACGGCTTCCGATAATTGTCCGTGTGAGTCTGGTTCCGAAAATGGAGTCACAGTCGTATCTTCCCGTACAACCCGGTGTGTGCATGGAAGAAAATTTCTTTTCCTTGGACGATATTTTGCTTTCCCATCAGCGACTTCCTATCCGCACAGAAGTTTCTTTTCCTCGGCTTGGATTCCTCGAGAAATCGAGCGACTCGCCCGATATTCCCATGGTAGGCAACCATTCAAAGGGGGTTATTTAACTTTTCCTTGAAGAAAATGGGGAAGTAATTCAGCCATCATTAAAACTAAGTTTGGGACTTTTTCGAAAGTTGGGAACAAGTTGAATACCGCATCAGGCGGTCAGTAAAAAAATTCTGACACGATCGCTTACTCGAGTGCAGAAATAACGCAAACGTTTTATTGATTAAGACTAATAATTTTGTGACTGTTTTGAAAAAAAAATGGCAGTGTCATCAGAAAATTCTTATTCACTCAATAAAAGAAGCCATACAAAGTACACTTCGGAAAGTGTAATTTAAAGTAGCACGTTCATTTGTATGTCAAGTGTGAATTTCAGAGAGTAGGGTCTGACAATTCTTACCCTGCTAACAATGACTCCTTTACAGGGTACAAAAATGGAGTTGCCTTTGTGGCTGTCCAAGGGTTTGTATGAGCAGAACAAAAGGATGCTGTCAGTCGAGCTCCCAAAGGTTTATCGAGAAGGCTGGAGGACGGTTTTCAATGCAGACCCCAATGTGGTGGATCTTCACAAGTTGGGGCCTTACTATTATGGCCTGGGATCCCAGATGCTGCGCTTTGACAGTCCAGAGAACCCAGAAATTGCACAGACGTTGCTACAGGTAATGTGGTATTAGCATTCACCATTGTATACCAATTGGTTCTGTCGTACTGTTGATGCATTCGTGAACGCAATATGTCTGTGCGCACTATACACACACACACACACACACACACACACCCATTATCTGAACCACATATCCTCATGAGGGTCACGGGTCTGGGTCTGCTGGAGCCTATCCCAGCTGACTTCGAGCAATAGGTGGGGTACACCCCAAACTAATTACCATCTCATCCCAGGGCAGGCATACACGAACAACCAACAAATCATGCACGTTTTTGGAATGTGTGAGGAAATCGAATGTAATGCGATGTCCTGTTGCATGCCAACATATTGTCGCATCTACTATGGATTACAGAGGCATTAGTTAGTGACCGATGCCTAATTTCATTTCTGACATAGAGACAGTTGTGTCTGGAAGCTAGCCGAAGTTAGCAAAAGTTAAGAAGTGTATTTTTTTTTTTTTGGTATTGCTGTAACGCAATGTACTATTTGTTACACCAACATATTGTTGCATCCACTATGCATTACAGAGGCGTTAGTCAGTGACCTTACGTTTATTAACAACAAAAGATCAGTTTTTCATGGTCACAAGTGTTGTGTTCACAAGCTCGGAACACAAAGCACTACCAATATGACATATTTGGCACGAGCCCTCAACGGCAGCGAATAACAATAAAACACATAACCTAGTTTGTTAATACTGTATATGCAATTTTATAGCGCTAAAAATAAAATCCTCCTCATCTTTAAGGATTTTTTTTTTGTTTCAGGTGCATACCACATCTTGATTGCCTAGTCCACTTTACTACTTTTAAATTATGCATACTCGTGAAGGCAAACAAGACATTTTAGATAAAATTTAAATAAAAACAAAAGTAAACACCAGTACAAGTGTTTATTATAGTTTTCTTTTTTCACAGTGCTTTTCAAGTATTTCTTTTTTTATTTATAGATAGTTTCGTAGTCCTGCTGCAACTCTGCTCAGTGATGGTTTTACGGGTATCAATTTTAAGGCCACAGTACAGTATCGCCTTCGAGTTAAGTTGCACAATCGTTTTTAAACATATCAGGAATGCTGGTACAAGCTGCAAGTTGAATCAAAGTTGAATGTACAGCCATCTTAATTGTCTTTATTTGTATTTACCTTTAAGAATTCAATCTGAGCTAAGGTTTTATAAGGGCAGCAACTTCTGAGTGCGATATCCCTCGGTGTACATGATCCAATTCGTTGACTAATCGCAACTACTGTTGGTGATTCGTGGACTAGCAGAATAACTGTTTGTGGCAGCCCTATGCAGTGCAAATAATAATTTTGTGAGTGATATGTTCTTTGATGCTTCAAAGTTAAACATAGATATAAATCACTCCCACATCTAGTACTGCAGTAATGTTACTGACATAATTTTAAAAATATAAAAATTCAGGTAAATTGTTCAGGAAATGAATTTCATAGGTTGGCAACTCTGTGAATGTGATACGGTCAAAGGTTTTGGTGCAGCAACTTTAGCGCTGGTGCAAACTAGACAAAAATTGTGTGTGTGTGTGTGTGTGTGTGCGTGTGCGTGTGCGTGCGTGCGTGCGTGCGTGCGTACATATATAAAAACACACACAGTGTGTGTTCATGCCAAGTATTCCCCGTAGTTTGCAATCAGCAGCACAGGGCTGATTGGTTGGCATCACCTGTCATGAATAGCATGCCGTTTCTGATTGGTCAGTTTCCTGGAGGGGAGGGCAGCTGTTTATGCGTGAGATTGGGGATGCAACAGATTCTTGGGTCAGTCAGGAGTGCTGGGTGGGAAAAAAAACTGACAAATTACATTCAAGAGTTGTCTGTAATGCCGATTTCAATCAAAAATGTAAATTCTTCAGCCCTTGTAAATGGCTGGTAAAATACAGTACCAGTTTTAGCTCAATCAATGCTTCAAAAATAAAGTCACTGAACACAAAAATTGCAGTTTGAAAGTTAATTGCAAATACACGGAAACATAATTTTTTTTTTTTTAACCCCCTAATGGCAAGTATCTTTCATTTCTCTTATTTATTCAGACATTCATTGGGCGATTCAGACGGACGATGGACTCTTCTCAGAATGCTTACAATGAGGACACCTCGGCGCTAGTGGAACGTCTAGACTGTCTTGAGAAGACGCTGTTCGTGTCGGGGCAATGCGGCCTCAACAGCTTCCAGGGCTGGGAGAAAGGACAAGCCTGCCAGCTCTCTGCCTCAAGCCTGGTGCTCAATTACCGCAAGCGGAAGATAACAGATGTGCAGTCGTGACCTTGCCTGCTCTCTAGTGTACACGTCAGCAACAGACTCTTCACGCTTACTTCTTGTCCTGCAGAGACTCTTCTACCTGATTCGTATAATACACATACATTCCTTCGATGGTCGCTCTTTTCCCAATGTGCTGTGGCTTCTTCCAACTTTCTAGAAACAGGTATTAGGTTCATTGAAGACTCACTGAAGGGGGGGGGGGCGTATCTGCATATGCATGTGAGAGAGAGCGAGATACACACACACACACACACACACACGGATCAATTGTTACCATAACCAACCAAATCATCACATTTCTCACACTTGTAATGATAAAGTCATCCTTTTTTAATACTCAAATTATTAGTATTTCCATCCAACGAGGCTGCTCCCGTCGGCTGAATTTTGTGATGGATCGGGAAACTGCCAACTCCAATCAGCAGGATACCTGTTATCAGAAGGCCTATCATGATTATTTCTTCCACATCCTCTCCGGACAGAATTGACTGGCACACCATTCTCCACTTCTGTCAAGGATCTAAGATGTACACAGCAGTAAATGCCCCTGAGGGGAAAGAGGGCTCCCTGCTGCCTGCTCTTTTCATCAAAAACATTTTATCCATAGTGCTGAGAGTCCAGCTGTCTGATTCCATGATATTGAATATATTTGCATAGCACTCCTAATCAACAGTCTTGAATGGAGCCCATAGACAAAATTTATAATACATATACATACATGCCTTATTGAGTACATCAATGCGTTAGTCATTTTGGATGAGGAAAAGTGATGCTGTTTGTGAAAATGCCTCATCATTTACTTGATCACTGGAGATGCATCATCAAGCAAGAACTCGATACCAAACCATTGCTTACAATGGGTACATCCTATATGGATGTGCTGACATGTCGTGGGTGTCTGCAGCAGAAATGAAAAGAAAAACGTCAAATAATAGGTTCATTTGAGATGTCCAAATGGTTTGTGGCTCCCATGGTTTCTTTTATGAAATGGGATTAAATGGCTTTTTTTGCAGTGCACCATGTCCCTCCTCACTTGCCGTACACATGACATGACAGTCTAAACGTGTAATGTTGGAAACTAAAGGTCGCCTAATGTCCATAAACTGTGATCTATAGTCACCAAAATTTGTTAACATCTCAATTTATTCTCACATCAACCTCTGAAATATCAGAATGAAGCTGAAAGCTTTTTTTTACGCTCATGTTTACCTGGCTCTTGTTATTGACAAATCCATACAAATTTGACAGACATTTCTTAATACGTTACATAATGCAAGACAATAAAACCAGCAGGTTCACACTGAAAAATGTGCAGGACTCACACACACACGTATTCGTCAACCCTGCATACCTAAAATTTTCGATAAGGCCCCGATTGGCTGTTGCAGATAAGACTGGCCATCAGTCAAACAAAAATCACACCACTGTTTCTTCATATTTTTAATTTCTTTGTCATAGTCAAATCAACATTAGTATTTCACAACACAAAAATAGCTACTGGGATAAAATAATACAATAATAAAATGTATTTTTAGAAATATGTGCCCATTTACCATTTTACTCTTTCATTTTGAATAAAAACTGTCATGTTTAACATAACTGTTACTCAGTTGTTGTACTTGAAAAATTTGAGTCATTTGTCGTCAAATAAAATGTCAAACTTGTTTGAGGTACTGTATTGAACTGAAATGAATCCTTGCCATTGGTTTCCACAAACAATTTGAGTTGAAACTAAATCATCAGGTTTTTGCTATGTGTTACTTAGTGTAGAAGTCACTGAATCCAGTAGTTGTGAATACAAACATTGACACTAATCGTGACTTAACATGTGACACATGCAAATGATGCATGTCATCGATATTGTGCACTGTGATTCACTGCACATGATATTAGTTTGTCATTTATAATCATTAAATTTGACATTCTTATTCAGTTTTGATGACAGAATAACATTATTAAATGAACTTTTTGATTACGATGTCGATTTGCCAGAAACAATGCACTTTCTGTTGATTACATATGCACCAAAAAAGGGGGCCCAATTCATTGACAGTAGAAGGTGAGGACGTTTTCTTGGTTTCCTCTGACCAACAGGACAGGGGAACTTAAGTCACGTGACAGGAGTTCCAGCCATGCCAGATACAGGATACTGGGGCACACTCCTCTCCTCCCTACGGGCATGGTGCTGAATGCATACAAGGCCAGATGAATGACATTTCCAGTGTGTGTTAAATTTAACGGAATACACTCTGAACAATACTCACATGACAATCAGTGTGGCTTCGCGGGAGTAATCCTGCAGAATTTCATTGAGTCGAATCTGACGGAAAGACTGATGTCCACAGAAACGTGGGCATGATTAGTAGAAGATACTTCATCAGCTATAGCAGGGGTATATGCCTTTGTACAATCAGTGGGATCAGTTGCAATGCATATATGTGAATGATAATAGTAAATTACACATTTGTCGAAGGAAATGTAAGGTGCTTCATGAAATGTTTTGTAAAAGATATGTTCATTAAATTTCAACATTTTCCGAATGTTCTTGTGCTTCTTTATACCAAAACAAAGGAAAGACATATTGTTTTGGTTATTTATAGCAAAGTATGGTATCATTTTAATGGTCCGGCCCACTTGACATGTACCGAGGCCGTATGTGGCCCACCATGTGAAATGAGTTTGACACCCCTGATCTATAGCAATGTTGTATCAGTGGTTCAATGTATACTTTTATTCTTGGTCATGATGTAAGAGGCCATCACCACACCAAGATGACCATGCAACTTGCCAACATCAGCAACGTTTTGATAGTACTAGAACCAGGAACATTAGCCGAGTCTCAAGGCGACAGAAAAGGTTATTGACGGCAGTGATCAAGAACAGAGGACATTGGTGAATGGAGCCTGTTCCGTTGCTGACAAGATAACGAAAGAAGTCACCTATTGAATTGCTGATGGCACCATGGTGGATAGAGCATGCTTGATTATCATCGATGTTAAATATAACAGGGCACTGGTGTAACAAACTAGATTTTTGCTCAATACATGAACCCTTTCATGCACCAATAATGATAATCTGTAACGTGATAAGCTGTCCACTGTAGTGACCGCTGTCCCTAAAAGGGTTAATGAAAATGTTGATTTGTGTTAGACTTTACCCGCTCAATCTGTTCGACTGGATCGAGATGGGTCGCTAATTTGCATTTTATGCGGAATCGCTGATCGACTATAATGTCAGCCTTTACCTTTACAAAACTATCAGTTACGACGTTGTTGCTCAAATGCGCAAAATAAGGCATGATAGCAAACACAACCTCGTTCGCGTCGCTGTTGTTCCGTGTACACGGGAGCCCGAAAGCTAATCTATTTTTAGCCTTGTCGCATGTCATGTGAGTGGAAAGCTTTTGCGCTGGGAACGGAAAATTCTGCCTTTGCGCCCTCGACCATTTTAGTTTGACATCTGATTAATCGAAAATAGCTTTCATCACCCAACATAAGTTATGTGAACTTCCGGCCATGCACATTCAGCCAATCAAGATGCAACCAACATGCAGACTTGTTCAAAACTACCAAAGCAATAGTTGCCTAGTTGTCAGACGTAGAAAACTTTTTGTCCTGTGTAAAACATGTATGTCCGTCTTTATAATTTAAAAAAATGTTGCGTTCGTTGGATGTCCGAAATGCGGAAATGCTGATCGCGTAAAGTGTATTTTAGGTATTATTTTTCATAGAGCTAACAATAGATTCGCTCATTATTCCTCCAGGCAGAGGTAAATGAAATGTCACAACACCAGACACGCAGGGCACTACCATGAGCTGATTGGACCTCTTCTAATTACTTTAGGTAAATGGCCACGAAAGAGGAACACACCTTGAAGCAACAGAGTATCCCATGCAATGAAAAAGCACATAATTGGTGATATTGCATTGTAAAAGCAAAGCATGACTGTGAGAAATGTTAAGCTCTGTGCAAGGGGACGGGGGCTGGGAAAATGTTAAAATTCAGCATTTTGAACTGCGATACAGCCAGGAGAAGGAAAATGAAATGTGAAGTGTTAAGCTGAAGTCAATAAGTTATATTCAATGCAAGTTCAGCGAGTAGTACTCTTATTTTAGTCACTGAAGCTGGTCCGCCAGAAGGACCCAGTCACTGCCGTGCACCGCTGTGATCCGCTTCTCCATCACAGGCACCTTACCGGGCAACTTCTACTAACAAAAACAAATGCTCGCATTGCAGCTACCGCGATTGTGAGGTGAGGTGTGGTGGCTGTTCCCCCAGCCGCTGCATGCGCCTAACTCCTTGCCACTGCCAGGGGAAGTTTAAAAAACGTATTCCTCATCTCACATGGGAATTTGAATGTGTGTGTGTGTGTGTGTGTGTGTGTGTGTGTGTGTGTGTGTGTGTGTGTGTGTGTGTGTGTGTGTGAGAGCCAAACCGACCTTGGCTCTGTTCCTCTCCAGATCCTGGTCAGTGATCCACCAGGGCTCCTCCTGTGCTCTTGATGAGCCAGAATCAGATTCAGTTTTTGGGTTTGTGTCTAGCTTGAAGGAACTCATCATCTTCTCAAACTGATGGATGCTGTTGTAAACAATGAGATAAAGGAATCACAGGTTAAAGGTGTGACAAAGAGTAAATATATAGTGGATTAAAAAAAAAAATTCTACACGCACAGCATGATGCTGCCACCACCATGTTTCAGTGTAGATATGGATTTTTTTAATGCTAATAAACAGCTTGGCTAAGATGCTTTTCTCTAAGATAAGACATCTTTTTTGCCACTCTCCCTCATAGCTGACACATAGGAAGAATGCTACGAGATTGTTGTTTCATTTCTTAAACAGCCAGTACGTCCCAGGAATTCCAGCAGCTCCTCTCCTGTTATTGTGGGCCTCATGGCAACTTCCTTGAACAGTTTCTTCGAGTCATTTCAACAATTTGGGAGGGACTTACGGGTCTAGAAAATTCCACGACTGTGCCATAGTTGCCTTGCAACACTTCTACTGACTGATAGATTTCCATCCATCCATTATCTGGACTGCTTTATCCTCACGAGGGTCGCAGGAGTGCTGGAGCCTATCCCAGCCATCTTCCGGCAGTAGGCGGGGGACACCCTGAACCGGCTGCCAGCCAATCACAGGGCACACAGAAACGAACAACCATTCGCGCTCACACTCACACTTTGGGACAATTTAGAGTGCTCGATGAACAGGCCACACATGATTTTGGAATGTGGGAGGAAACTGGTGTACCCAGAGAAAACCCGCATAGGCACGGGGACAACATGCAAATTCCACACAGGAAGGCCGGAGCCAGGATCGAAATCTGCACCTCTGCACTGTGAGGCCAGCTTGCTAAACAGTCGATCACCGTGTCACCCTTGAGACGTATTTACAATGAAACAATGAAGAACACTCCATGTGTTCATTTCAGATGTCAGCATCAGGAATGGCTCTCCTGAGACACAAAGGCTCAACCGCATTTTGAATTGGCGTTGGCTCACAATGCAGAAATGGGGTATGGCTACTACGGTTACCTGTAAGTGTGGCGCAGAGGAACAAACAGCTGATCACGTCATCATATCCCGCCCCCTTTTCTGTCTTTCAAATGATGAATGTGGGCTGGCAATAGTGGATGATAATACTGCGGCCTGGCTGTCCATCATAAGCCCAAGCATTTAAAGCATGGTGTCCAACTCAAGGCCCGGGGGCCAGATCTGGCCTGTCACATCATTTTACTTTGTTTGCAAAAGCGACTTATGTTGAAGTGAGACCACACATCATTTCGCTAGATTTTGAGCCGACAGGCGTATCGCAGAGAAGCATCATGTCGTCACCGATTTTGAGTTGTCGTGACGCCTCCTAGCCCACGCATGTAGTGTGACATACTGAACGATTGGTAATCTGGCATCTGTTTCTTGCTAAAATGCAAAAACTGCAAATTATCTTCACTTTCAAAAAAATGAGATTGAGATATTGCAAGCATTTTTGTGACCGATCCCCCTTTAAAATAAATGTAATCATATTTGAGCAAACAGTTTTTACTGGCGTTTGATTTCACAACGAGTTATTCATCAATTTGTTGTGTAAACGTAATATGAGGCGATCATACATTTACAGTATTTTGAGTTCAAAGTCAGAACAGCTCTCCGAAGGAAACCACAACTATCAAGAAAATTAGTTTGAGGCCCCTGACTAAAGGATTTTCACACCTCTTCTGTAACCATCGCTTCCACGTGCAGAAGATGACTCAAATAGGTATTTTCTCTCCTGATCTAATTTTTAATGATGCCTTCCTTTATGATGCAAATCAAAGGTGCCATTAATCATGATTCAGCGTAATTGTGGTAAACATCCCGACAAGCTTACTTTCCAGGCTGAGGTTTTTGAAAGAGGTCAGGAAGCACT